CTTTCATTGACGACTTGCAGAATATTAATTGGAATAATATTTGCAAACATATCGATGCCAATCAATCTTTTTCCAGGTTTTACAAATGCGTCAACAAGACAATTAACAAACACGCTCCTTTAAGAAGTATATCCAATCGTAAACAAAAATTCCTTGCTAAACCATGGCTGACGGCGGGTTTAAGAAAATCAATCAGGGTAAAGAATAACCTCTTCTATACCTCAGACCGTGACAAATACAAATTTTACAGAAATAAAATCATTTATCTTACGAGATTAAGTAAAGCGAACTACTACCAAAGTTTCTTTGATCTCAACATATGTAATATGCGTCAAACTTGGAAAGGAATTAACGAGCTAATTGGAAACTGTAAAAAGAAAAACAAGCGCAACTCAACTAACTCTATTCGCTTAAACCCGAATGAGGTTCCAACTAGTGACCCGAAGGAAATAAGCAATATTCTTAACAAATATTTCGCCACTGTTGGGAGCAAACTGGCTTCTAAAATTCCTCAGACCATAAATACATTCTATGATTATTTAGATCCGCCACTTAATCGCACTTTCTTCTTTGATCCTATTATTCCGGAAGATATCAATTTAGAAATTTCAGTTTTGCAAGACAAGAAGGCCCATGGTCTCTACTCATCTCCAGTTAGGCTGCTGAAATTAGCAAAAAGGGTCATATCCGTACCTCTAGCCACGATTTTTAATCAGTCTATTTGCTCAGGGATTTTTCCATCTAAACTAAAGTGTGCTAAGATTATCCCGATATTTAAGGACGAAGATGACACGCTGCCCGAAAACTACCGACCTATTTCTCTGCTCTCGATTTATAACAGGATTTTTGAAAAACTTATGTACTCCAGAGTTACCAAGTTTGTCAAAGATTGCAACATTCTCTATGATCAGCAATACGGTTTTCGCAGTAAGCACAGTACTCAGCATGCTGTACTTGATATTGTTAACACAATTCTCCAAAACATGGACAACGGTAAATTTTCGTGCGGTGTTTTCATCGATCTCAAAAAGGCTTTTGATACTGTTAACCATGAAATTTTGTTAGCTAAACTTGAAAATTATGGTATTAGAGGTGTAATAAACTCCTGGTTCAGATCATACCTGACTGATCGGAAGCAAACTACGGAAGTTAATAATGTTGTGTCTGAGGCTGAAACGACCTTGTGCGGCGTGCCACAAGGCTCAGTCCTCGGACCACTCTTATTCCTACTGTACATCAATGATATTTACAAGTCCTCTTCGTTATTTGCCTTTTACCTATTTGCTGACGATACTAGTATAATACTTGCAAATAACAACCTAAAGGAACTCGAAACACTTGTTAATCGCGAGCTTGGCAACGTCAACGAATGGCTAAAGGCCAACAAACTGTCCTTGAACATAAAAAAATCAAATTTTGTAATCTTTCGTCCCCAGCAAAAGAATATGCCCTTCATACCTAGGATTAGAATTTTTGACTCCGTGACTAACACCTACGCAAACCTTGAAATGAAAGATTATGTAAAATACCTTGGCTTAATGATTGATTCAAATCTTTCATGGAAATACCACATCGAATCTGTCTGTCACAAAATCAGCAAGTCGATAGGAATTATAGCTAAAATTCGACATTATGTCCCGCGTCGTGTTTTACTTTCAGTTTACAACTCATTAATTGTCCCTTACTTGACTTATGGTATTTGTGGTTGGGGAAATTGTGCCTTGACATTTCAACGAAAGATCGTAACTCTACAAAAAACGGGCCTTACGTCTCATTTACTTCAGTAAGTCTAAGGAACACGCCGTACCCTTCTTTCTCAAATCAAATTGCCTTCCCCTGCCTAGCATATTTTTCAGAGATTGTAGCTATTTATTGTATGATATCAACAGACAGACAGCACCAGTTAGTATTCTCAATCAGTTCGTTAAAACAAGTCAGATTCATAACTACAGAACAAGATCTGTCTCTAGCGACTCGTTTTATGTTAAGTTCTCTAGAACCGATAAAATGTATGCCTTTTTCACGAGAATCGGTGCCCAAATTTGGAACTCTATTCCGTATTCGATTAAAATACTTAAACGTTCGTCCTTTCGTAAAAAAAATAAAGGAATTATTACTAAATTTTTGCGGTCAGAAGATGATTATGTCGAAGTCTCCCGTCTTATTAAGTTATTTAATACTTTAGTTAACCTCTCTTCGTAATCGTTATGTACATGCCTTGTTTTTTGTTTTTTGTTTTATGTTAGTTTAAACTCTATTTACTGTATTGTAGTGTCTTCACTGTTATTTAGTCCATCTATATATAATTCTTGTTTTGTAATATGTCTTCAGCTCCCCCCGCCTCGATTAGTTCATAAGCTATTTGCGGGTGGGAAAGTAATGTAATTAGTTATTTTCCAATTTTCAATAAAATTTGTTGTTGTTGTTTGTTGTTGTTGTTGTTGTTACCCACACGTTGTATTTAAGGTTACAGAACTTACAGTACTTAATAGTTTAATTTTATTTTCGAAATTTTGCCAAATTTTACTAGTGCGATTTATTGTGTAGTCCAGCCTTTTAGAGGCGTTTGCGTTCTCCAGTTCCACATATATCCGTTTCAAGACTAATATGCTGACGGTGGTACAAGTTTATTGCAGTTTAGTATGTTTGATTCATACAAGACGATTCCTGTCGAGTGTTTGTCGTAAGAATATCCCATCCGACAAAGATGTGCCATGTACATTAGTCTTTAAAAAGACACTTTTGTACTCCGTGCTATTAAGATTATTAATAATATATTTCTAGCCGAATTTTTGAAAACATACCTCAAAATGGGCCAGAATATTCGCACAGAAAGCTGGCGATCGCCAGCTTTTTGGTCACTGCGGTGAGAAAAAACATAGGGGGCTTGCTGTCCTGGTTGGTCTCATTGTCAAGTTCAGTCCCTGAGCTAACTCGCCATGGGTTGGAAAGGGGCCTCCATGTCAATCCCTAGGGGGGAAGGGTGCTGCAAAAGCGTTGTACCTTCCGTTAGTCCTGGTCTGGGAGAGTCCGTGCACTGGTCATGTCTGCCTTTAGTTTGTCATGTCAAATTCTTGTAACGTTTGAGGCCCATTGGCCAATGAAAGCATTCCCCTCAAGCACGTGCTAGGCTGGGGGGGGGAGGAAGTCAGGGGGGGGGGTGATTTAACCTTGAATTCTCTGCTTAGAACTTGCTTAAGTCTCAAGCGTCCTCCGTCATTTAGGGCCTTGAAGCAGCTAGAGTGTATGGACAAGTCCAGAGTGTCTTTTTGATGGACTTGAATGTTTCTTTTCTAATCAGGAACCAAGAAGAGAGTCACCTTAAGAGAACCATGGGTAAGAGCTGAGTTTCTTGGCGATATTTACTTTAGTTGAGCCAGTTGAAGGTGTGTGGGCTCCTGGTGTCCGATGGTACGGTTTTCATAAAATCCGGCTAGATTTTTTCACCTTTTGAAATCTCCTGGAGAAAAAGCGTTTGTCGTACTTACTTAGGTAACATTTTGTAAAGAAGCTCTTCCGTTTTCGCTTTTTCAATCTCTAACTGCTGAGTTCTTTCTTCTACCAGTTCTTCCAACTGATCGGTGTATTTTTCCATCATTTGAAGCATATTATCCACAATGTCTGTGTTCCTAAAACAACACAACTCATGTCAGAGTAGCCAGAAATTAATATTTAGAGAGATCATTTTGATTGTAGTCTTTGCTGATAGATTTTCTCAAGAGAGAATAAATATGATTTTCTATGAAACGAAACAACTTCTGTGACTGTGTGTTGGCCCACGGTGGTGGAAAGCAGGGCCCAAAATAAATGATCAAGTCAAAGCATAGTCATAAGGACTCAGCTCAGATCCTTGATCCTGCTTTTTCTGACTCTAACTGACGACTGTAGAATCGTTTTCGTTATATACCACAATAACGCAAGAGGTTAATTGGAAATCAAACCGACTTATTTAGTTTGAGTCAGACCACTCGGCATCTTAATTCGAGTTATAATTTTCTTCACAGCTTTTGTACTTATCTTTATTATACAGAAAAACACGATGACGTTTTCGTTTTTTGAGAGTCAAAGCAAATTGTCATGATAGCGTTGAGTCAAACTGAAGAATGAGTTTCTGTTAACGTTTTCTACTTTAATAGCCAACCATTAGAGACAAAAGGACAAGTAGTCAATCTCCTGGAGATCATTGACTTTCCAATTATAAAAGTACCGTAAAATTCCGAAAATAAGCCCCTCCATGTATAAGCCCCTCCAAATATAAGTCCCCCAAAATCGTAACGCAAAAAAACCTCCGTTAAATGGCCCCTCCGAATATAAGCCCCCCGGGGGGCTTGTACTAGGAATTTGAATTGATTGGAATTGATTTTGAAACGCAAATTTCCCTCTGTACATAAGTCCCTCCAAAAATAAGCCCCTCAAAAAGAGCCTTTGAAAAATATAAGCCCCAGAGCCTATTTTCGGAATTTTACAGTATTCAATTTGCAAGTTAACAAAAGTTTAACATTCGTTGAGTTCAGCAATGTTATACGCTAGCTATCGACCCGTGTCAGGAAATCCAAGACAGTCTTAGATCCTGGATTCCAATCTTTGGATTCTGTAATTCCAGGTACTAGATTCGCGATCCTTTATTAATGGCACTTGGATTCCGGATTCCTTGAGCTGAGTTCCGGATTCCAAAGGCCGAGATTCCTGATTTTTCAGGATTTCACAAGCAAAGCTTTCGAGAATATGAGCTAATATGGGGGTACTGCCTAGATTTCATGTTGATACAAAGCACTCACTTGCTGTTATTCATTGCTCTCAGATTGGATTTGACTTCGTTGAATATCGGTCTTTTGGAGGGACCATCATCCCAGCATTGATACATAAGCTGCAGATATCTTTGATCGCATCCATCGCTCTCTTTTGGTATGTCAGGTCTGAATGGAGGTGTAAGTCGTTTCCGTACCTTAACCACCACATCTAAATAGTAGAACACTTGTTATTTTAAAATAACCTCTATTTAAGAGGGGAACACCAGATGTTATGTACATATTTGGCCTAGTGACCTTATAACGGTACTGACTTAAACTCAGTGACAGTATACCTCCCCTACCCTTTTCTAACAATGTCATGGGTTCTTTTTCGTTCCCATCTAATTGATTTGTAACGATGCATGAAGGAGACAAGACCAACAGCTTAACTTCACCAACAAAGGATGCGATCATCTAAACCGAGATTTGGCTTTCAGCACAGATAGCATGATGTAACCAGTGTTTTTAAGATCCCTCCCATACTGCGATTTTGTTAACTTATGAGTGCTATGTAGAGGAAACTTTGTTACTTCTTACAGCCCGAGCTCTTCATTCCTCAATCCAGCTTAGGTCTCAGTTAATTCACTTGGTTCTAGCGTTTGAAATTTTAGCCCTAGATCTATATATTTTCTTTGTGAAATGAATCATGACAAGGTAAAGATTGTTTCACTTACCTTAGGAGTGCTCAACGCATAAACTATATACTATATATGCAGAGAGAAATACAAATGCAAAAGATGAAATTAAAAGTTGTAACTCGGAGTCTCAGGAACTAAGCGATCATCAGACTCAAAGTTCTACACTACCAGACTTAACAGATTTCAGTTTGAAGTTAAAAAAAAATTCATGGACGGTTGAAACAGTTCGTTCTGTGATTGGTTGCGAAGAACGTGTTTTCATGACGACACCATGATCACTTAGTTCTTAAACTCATCCGCGCGAGTTATACAATTTTTTACTCTTTGCATTTTTCTTTTTCTTTTACAGGGTATACTATAGTTACATGTGACTTGTCTCCCCATATTTGTATCTGTATTTTTAGTGCATTTTTTCGTAGTATGTTCTTGAGACATACAGTGAATGTAGGAAAAGAGCTATCCGTCTAAATTCTCTCTCAGTACCTTTAGGTTCTAAGTGATCCTGATAAGGCTCGTCACGAGTAAGAATCTCCCAGAGTATTATCCCGTAACTGTACACATCGCCTGTTTGAGTCTTTTTAAAGCGATTTTTCCTGCTACCCGACTCTGGCAGCAATTCTGGAGCAGTCCAAAAGAGATCTACCAAGAGAAAATATACATTTTTAACAAAGCCAATTCGATTGAACCATTATGGCTCTTGATTGAACTCAATGCGCACAATGAAGTGCACAAACTGGTTTTATTACCCATACACGTGATCTTGAATGATATTCCAGAAACAAAAAGAGTGGACAGAATTGCTGCATTACATTTACAGGAGAGTTAACAGGAACATTCAGCCCACAAAACCCAAAATTCTTCCCAAATTTAGTTTGATCTGATAAATTCAGATGTTGCGACTTTTATGACAGTTTATGTGATGCTTTTTTGCGACCTTTCTTGCCTGTCTATTTCATAACGCAAGATTTTCTCGTGACCTTATTACTAGAGGGATATCTGCAAATGTCCTCACTCCAAAATTGTAAGGCTCTTGCATGGATTACTGAGGTAATCATTGTATATATGGTTTTAATTCCATTAGCCCGGTTATGATAAATGTAGAAATAGTCTCCATCTACCAATCAACAAAAATCACTTTCAAACGGAAAGAGCCTACTTGCCCCTGTCATCATCACTCGACTGTCGTCGAGATCGATGCCACAGTTTTCTCGCCACTGAGTCTTACTGACCATTGCTCTGCGAAGTTCAGCATATGTTGAGCAAGTTCTCTCGTTTCTCTTTGAAAATGCTAGAAATGACCTGGTCTTTGGCCCTAAGGCAGTGGCCTGCAAAAACAAGCTTTCCGCTATGCCACGTACCAGTCGTGGAGATATATAAATGGAATTGTCCGATGATCTCGGATTTTGTAGCAACACAGGTCTTTCAAGTCATTAGTAACCTTGAGTATGTGACATCAAGGCAGTATTCCGTTACCATTGATTCGAATGGCAACGTTGTCCACTTACCTCTGTAACTTGCATAGTCCCCGAAGTCTTCTTCTGGCTGATTAGCTTTGACCGAGTCCAAGCCAAAGTCAGCTATTTTGCAGGTCCAGCGACTGTCAATCAGGCAGTTAGAAGATCTCAGGTTACCATGAGCCGTGATTGGACTATTGTGTATTGCTAACATGCCCTGGAGAAATAAGCGTTTGACAATATTGTATCATAGCCCTATCATATTCTAAAAGTAATCGTTATTCGATAGTTCTAAATTCTTTTAAAGCTCTTGTACCTTAATGAACCCGAAACAAATCATGGCGTTTTCTTTTTTGAATAATTCAGTTCGCAACGTACTTGAATGAAGGCATATAGAGCTTTATCACTCACCTGGCTAGTATCTAAGCAAAATTATTGGAAAGGCAAAAGGCAAAATTATTATTTTGAAAACCAACATAGCCGCCGTTTCATTGTTTTGGGGCACTACTATAGCGGACGTGAGGTCATTTGAGAAAGTATTGGACCTTACCTTTGCGATATCGTTGGCAAAAGACATCATGAACAGCCAGTCAAGTTTAATATCATCATTTGCAAGAAGATCCTTAAATAAAACAAAACAAAATATTGCTACCTATGTCTGTAAAATTATTAAACCCCCAACTATAGATTTCCCTTCATAGACTTCATAGCTGAGAAGAAATTTGGTCAGAATGTTAGGACCAACAGCTTTTCAGTCGAACAAAAACGGATGGTTTACTAACTATCATAAAGTCTGATTCAGTCCCTACTTCTAATCACTATCTTAAAACTTGTGTAAATGACGCAGAAGCAGGCGACTACAATTCAGGGTGAGTTTTGTAAAAAAAAAAAAAGGCATTTAGACACATGATAAGGGACTGTGAGTTTTAAAATCGGCTTTTTCCTCGGGCAGTGTGACTGATTTTGCCAGGTTTATAATAAATGATGACATTGTAGAATTGAATAAACTTAAATGAAAATAGGTCAGTCAACAGGATAATTTCATATGGCAGTTTAAAATGTACCTCTGGCTGATTTATTAACAGTCAGAGGAAAGCCAACGAATCCAGACATATCTTACTTTCCATTTAACTGCGGAAGGGGAAAGAAAATTTCGGCCGTGCTGTACTTGTCAAAAACAGATTCTAATTTGTTTCCAAGAACCGACAAGTGAAATTGAAAAAGTTAAAATCGTGAATTTTGAAAAACTTGATGATAAAAGACGTTGTTGACTTGTTAACCTGAAGATTGCCTCTGCCGCAGAATTTGGACACAATGCATATATTTGGAGAAGCGGTACACATTCCAATGCATTGATTAATATTGTCGTGCAGTAAATCGCGGACCTAAAAAGAAGCAGAAAAAACGAAAACATAAGATTATGAAATAATTTTGATTATTAACAAGCTAAAGGTATTAGCTTTGGAAAAAGAGGACTCTATAGTTAAGGTACACAAGTAGGAAAAAGCTAGTGGCTTCAAAATGTTGAAAAAAATTTCTTTTTGCTATCCGCAAGGCGTCCAGCTGTGGCCGCTAATTTGACCTGTTACGGGATAAATCGTGAAGGTAATTAAGTGTTTAAAAGAAGATGGAGAGAACCCCTTAGCACTTACTCCCATGTACCGAGGAAGTTCCAGAGGCATTTTAAGTTCCCTGCTCCGGTGCTCTCCCGTTATTCTGTAAAACTTCACCCGTAAAAATTCCGTTTCGATTAGCTTCCCCTTGTTCTCATCCTGCTAAAATTTTTATACACGGTCAAACAAAAATTGACGAGCAATTAACTTTAATCGAAATAATTGTGATATTTTAAAGCCTTTTGATTCGGGTCATTATTTGAACTTCAATCCTCTGTTTTTCCAGTTTGTTTTTAGTGGCTTTGACTGAGTCACTCGGCGAGTCTAGTGTTCTGTCTTAAAATCCGAGATTCTCAAGTGCTTTCTGTTCATCATAGATAACTAATATAACACATTTATGATTTTACCTGCTTCATTTCTACGAAAACTTCTCTTTTCAGGTCCATGTGACTTTTTCGTAATCTATGTATTTCAACCAGTTCAGCCTGTAGGGCAATGAAAGATAATCATCAGTCAGCAATACTGGAAGATTGTAAAATTTACACACTTGGACTGTCTGCCGGAAATACCTTTTTCCATTGTTTTGGATTGCTCCTTCTAGAGCCAAAAGATCGAGCGTAGTGGTTCCCTCGATCAACAGTACGAGGCCTTTCATAACAACGGGTCATTGTTCTCCCCGGGCGGGGTGGTGCTCAACAAATTTTTATACTGGGAGGTTCCCCCCCCCTCGAGTTCCAACCCCTTACCCTTTTATATACCATTTTTCACGAAAAAGGTACCCGTTTCGTATACCTTCTATTGAAAAATGGTACCCTTTTCACATACCTTGTTTAGAACTTTGCAGCCCTTTTAACTGCTGTAAATTCACTGTCATTTTAATAGGAATCAATCACAAAAATAGAACGTTTTCTCTACTTAATAAAATAAAATAAAATTCATCTGCTAGCCCTTTGGGCCATTTCACAGACCCAAATGACAGATTTCCCTACCCTTTCATGTACTTCTACGAGTTAAATCCCTACCATTCCATATACCTGAAACCCAAAAAAGGTACCCCGTTCGGGCAGAGCCTCCCAGTATAGGCCATTATAGGGAGTACCCCCCGGAGTATTCGTCCATTTGCGTAAGAGTCATCGATTTTTCTTTAATTATTTTAATTATAATAGTTGACTTTGTCCACGATATTAATATATACAGAGTACAAAATGGTAGAAAAGTGTTAGCTACAAGTTCCCGGGACAGTTAAGGAAATAATGTCGAGTCCTGGCTTTCCAATGGATGCCTTACATTCTTTCGGTTTTTACAGTTTCTTTCGTGAGCTGTGCCGCCTTTTCCTTTTGCTGATTTATTTGTACACTTTATTCGTGTCGTATTATGACCAACAACAAGATCATCACCCCACAAGGCGGCTGCGGGATAAAAATGTAATTGCGCTAGGCTTAAATTTTACTTAAAGTAACTATTACTGTCATTTGCGCTACTTTCCTTTTTTTCTGGTCGCAGAAAGGTGGCTCTCCACGTCCTGTTTGTATGAAACTCTGTTTACAAAGCAGTATGTGCATGTGCTCTTCTATAGGTAAGGTATTTAAATTTAATATCAGCGAGACTGTCACGGCAATGCAATGTCATCTTCTAGTGAAAAACATATTCAACGTCACGTGTTCCTTAATGCGCAAACGAGAATAGTTTTGGGGATAAACAGTACGTGACTCATATCGATGTATATTTCGCACTTTCTATATTCTATATCGCACAATATTAGCGGAGCTCCCGAGCGAAAATTTGGTTATGACGCAGCGTACGAACGCTAACCGTCCGTACACCCACTGCATGTAAGCCGATGCCAAATGTCAAGTTATTTTGGGGAAAAAACGTATGGCCACCGCGTCTTGTGAAGCAGAGATAATGAAAGAGTCCATAAAGACGAAACCAGAAAGCGGAAAATGTTTCTGTAACCGTGTTGTCTAAAGGGTTAAGCTTACATTAGTTGCCATGCCCACAAATTTGAAATGTAGAGAAAGAGAATTAAAGACAGAGAAAAAGAGAAAATAGGGCGAGAGGCAAGCAAGCTCAACGCCGGAGAAAAAGAGCCAGAGCGAGAGAAAGAAAACAAGGGAGACAGTTTTTTTGTTGGAGGAACAACATGAAATTTTGTAGCACTGGTTAGAAAAGGAGAAATGCTAGCGGCAATCAGGGTGAAAAGAGCGACAGTGAAAACAAATAAAGAAAAAGAACACGTAGGACGTTTAATTCCTCAATAAAACGTGTAACCAGGAGGTTTCTGGAAGTTTCACGTTGTAGTCGTGCAAAACAACGGCAAAGAAATGTACAAAAAAAGTGTGCTGCACTTGTAAAGTTGCTTTTTTTTGCTAATTAGACCTATAGGTGGTTTTCATGCAATCGCGGGAGACACAAATAACAATAGTGAAATGAGCAAATGCTGGTGGACAAACAAAGCGAGCTAATGAGCGATCTTTTGTTTACCGTCCTCCAGCATAGCGGCAATGACGTAGCGTGAAAACCACCTATTGCTGTGTTTTTACCGTTCTCGTTGCCTTCGCCGCTTAGCATCACACGATTTTATATTTTGTTTGAACAAACGAAAAATATTATCGAGAGCTTCGCTTTTAGCCCTGGATAAATCTATATATTAATTGAATATTTTGGGTATTTTCTTCTGTCCGTATTGGTCGAGACATATCCCAATAGTTTCTGAGAAGTTAATAAGCCATTTCCGAGTTGCCCAAAGCTTCTGTTTTAGGCGAGGCTCAGTGTGAAGGCATTGATACCAGAATGATTTTTTTGTCTCATGCAAATAAAAGTCATTTTCATAAAGAAAGGTTTTGCGCATAACCTTGTTCGGAAATGGCCACTTGCCACTTCATCCATTTGTTGTACTTGGCGCAAGCTGCTTCCTTACTCATATTCCCATACCTTGTATCGTCCAACATTTGTGAGGTTAACCTGTATCTCGCCTCCAGGTCCTATTTGACTAATAAAGGAACCGTTTGTTCTGACCTGGCAATAAAATATGAACAAAAAAACCCACGTTATCCAGCTTGCTCTCTGGACTTGTTTGTGGGATTGAACTGGCCTTATCAAACTGCTATTAAAATATAGCTAAAACACTCGATTTCGCTTCTTGGTTTGAAAGCAACATGCATGGTCAGTTGCCATTGCAGATTACATACAAGATTAAAAGAGTAATAGTAAAATATTTCATTAAACAGAAAGCTCTTTTTAATAGGCCACTTCTGAGTTCCAAAAACCCTCACTTTCAAAATGAGGCAAAGTGCACAACTTTCCTTGCGGAAGTGAGTTTTATTTGCATGAGAATGAAAAATCATTTCCATATCAAAGGTTGAGCACTTAACCTCGTTTTGATACAGAGGCCCGAGGGAACTCGGAAATGGACTAATGGCCGTTGGATTTTTTGTATAATCCTAGATTCAGAAAAAAAGAATATTAACTATATACTGTTTTTTGTATTGTATACTTACTTTGCTTGACATTCGGCTTCCGGGTCTGCATAAAATAATATCCTTGTAATCGATTATCCACGAGGTGCTCATAAGTTCCCTTTCATGAACTCTTTTTCTAGAGATAAGCAAATTAAAATAAATAACAAAAGCTAACTTTAACAGTATAATATAAGATTATTTAGATGAATATCAAAACCAAATCAAACTTTCCAAACAAGGCTAAGTGCAAAACCTTTCTTATGAAAATGAGTTTTATTTTTATGAGAATAAAAAAAGAAAAATATTTTCAAATCAATAGCTTCGCACTTGGCCTCGCTTTGAAACAGAGGCGTGGGTCAATTCGGGAATAGCCTATTTGGGACCTGGTTTACAGAGTTATCCAGAGTTTTACTTACTTGTAAAAAAGAAAACCAATCACAAGGATGACAACAAGTAGCACTAGTAACAGGGTCAATAGCCACAAATAATTCGATTCTTCATTCACCCTTTCTGTTTTCAGGCAAAAAAGGAAAAAAGATAAAGCACAACTTTTTGATCGATTAACATACAAAAATTAACGATACCATAAATCAGATTTTGCCAAGTCTGCGAATAAAAAAGACCTGGAATATTTAGGTTTTGTTCACACTCTACCAGATAGCTGTTTGGCCGGCACGAAAACCATACTGGATGAGGATTCTGCTCACACATGCGCAAAAACGGTGATTTTGGCGCAACTTCTGTAACCGAGCGAAGCTGCACTGAGCTGATCTCGAAAGTGGAGCGTCACATATCAGTCAGGTTGAGCGTGTCACACTTTGGTGCAGCGTGAAAAGGAATTTTGACCGAAGCAGAAGTAAATAAGTAGGAGCAAGGACTGGAAACCACTGAGACGAATCCGAAGTAAAGTATTCAGGGGGGTGAAAGGACTGTAAACCCTCTCGGCTCATCGTCTGTTGCGTATGAACGAGTAGAGTCCCGTGCCGTCGCTGTTCATACCATACAGCGTAGTGTTTCGTGTCAACACTAGTCTGTTTCATGGTGTTCCTGAAACAATTATTGGTTCCCTCTTTATTTGTGGTATGGGTATTGTTCAGGGTCTTTACAATCTTTGCATTACGTCATATGCTGATAGCACCCTTCCGCGACACCAAAAAATACCATATTTAGTCACGTGCAGTTACTTACCAGTAGGGGGAACAACACATTTCTCTCCATGGAATCCACATTTGGGTTCATCAAGAGGGACAGCTGTCGTTCCACCTGGCCACACCACTGATAAGGTGAAAATCTTAACACTCTCATTTTGCGGTTTCGTTTGATCAATCTCCACAATTGGAACCCAGCTGCCGCCTTGTCTATTGCTAAATGCAAACACTGGAATGCGATTACCTTGAGCGTTGATTGCCACATCACCAGACACACCTGAAATGACATTTGCAAATAGATAAAAATGAATTTTGTTTTTCACATTTTGGTTCTCTAACTGTTAGCTACGAATTGCAAACATCCTTTGTCCATCTTGGTAGCACAGAGAAGGATGATATTACAGGAGGTTTCAAGTCACGCTATACTTGTAGTCTAATGCAGATTGTTCCTACAGCAAAATAAGCATGTCTTATTTTAGGTTTATCCGTAACGATTATTTTGGAAAGTTTTTATCGGCTAAATTCTTAATCTGAAAAGTGACAACTTGAATCTCGGGTCAAGTTGCCGTTCACCGCGTGAACGTTTTTCCTAAAGCTCTATATTGTTTCAAATAAAGTATAACTCATCGCGGTTATCGATGCTCTCTTGTCGAGGAAAGTAACGCGTTGGAAATTACAGCGGAGCTCTCTCCCGCGCGAAGCGCTTGCCAGCGGAGCACCATGGATAAGTAGAAAATTTGGTAATGACGTGCCCGTATACCGACAGCCTCCGACCGTCCGTCCGCACCACAGGTATACCATGGCAACCCAAATGCAACTCGAGGTTATTTTGACGGGAAATCGCATAGCCACCCGAGTCTTGTAAAGCAGAGACAACTAAAGAGTCAATAAAGACGAAAACGGAAAGCGGAAATTGTTTCTGTATTCGTTTTGTCTGGAGTATCAAGCTTAGATTAATTGTCATGTCCACAAATTTGGAAATAGAGCAAGAGAAAGACAGAGAAAAAGAGAAAGTAGGCGGCAGGCCAGCGAAGCTTAACAAGGAAAAGGGCGACAGAGATCTATATACATCGAGAGATAAACAACAAAGGAGACGTACATTTTTTTGTTTGAAGAACAACATAATAATTTTTTAGCAGCGGTGAGAAAATAAGAAACGCTAGCGGCCACCAATGCAAGGTAAAAATGAGCGGCGGTGATAAAGTTCTTCGATGAGTTTGACTGTCTCGACAAGATAAGCATTTAAAGAAGTGGCTTCTTTAGGTTAGCTACTGCAAACATATTGATGAAGTTAAGCAGAAACAGGCACACTACATCAACAGAGTGGCGTTCCCATACAATACCTGTAAATAGTAGTTCTGCGTTGCTTATGTTGGAAATGATTGCCAAACCATCAGTCTTATTACCTCCACGACTAATAGACCGATTAAGACCGATTGCGTACAATGATATGGCATCGTGGAGATAGGCGGCAAACTCGAAGGTCTGTATGAAAATGAGAGCGCAACTTAACATGGTGTACTGATAAAGAACCTCTTATTTTCGGGCTACTGGTATAGATAATTCAGTTGCTCTAATTTACATAAGTTTTGTTTGATAGACGTCTAGTAACTTAGCACAGCTAAGCCATTAGTTAGTGGAATCTCGGAAGTCGTTTAACGAGAGCAATGATTTCATGCATCCAAAATAACGAGGATAATAACCAGTATCTACTTTTAAAAGTAGAAACTTCACCTTATTACTGCAGCTGGTATTTAAGGTTATAGGAATTCACATATTTTTTATGATACGTATTTCTTGCATATGCAAGGTTGGTTTCAATTTCTTCAGTTAAGCCGAAACAAGCTTCATAGAAAAAGATACAGTCATTTCTTTCTAAGACGGACGCCACTAGCATCTATTAGAAAGATATCCACTGCAAGGAAAATGACCGAAAATCGGTTGTACGTCTTATAGAAGTGTCCATAAAGAGAGAGTCGCGTTTCAGTCGTTTTCACTGATCACTCCAACAATCGTTACATACTTACAACAGACGTACGTGATACATTATTGGCCTTCATCTTTTCACTTAGTTGCCGTGAGAAGTTTGTAAATCTCTCTCCATGTGGTCCTTTAACAGACAGGTTGACAATCCCGTCAAACAGAGCCTGGAACTCTGTCATATTCCTCCCTCCTACCCATGGTTCGGTTTGCCAACTGTTTTGTATTTCGAAATCGAGCGTTAAGAAGGCATATTCTCCATTCATCATTCCCAGTTCATTGGCTGCAACAAGAAGTCTCGCTACTTCGTTGTTAAAAGCGAGAAGAAAGACGACTGAAACAAATATAAGTAAAATATAAAAGACCCTGCTATAAAACACAACGTATTTGTAGCAACTCAAGGAAAGGAACAAACTACTACAACGGGATTTTATGTAGAATGAAATGTAGTCATACCCAGATCTCCCTTAGTCAGTCGGACGGGATTTCCTACGGACAGACGCCATGCTAATGTAAACATTCAGGGGCTATGAACAATCTGCTTGTATGAACGGGTACAAAGGAATTTACAGTACAAACTCAGTCCAGAGGGCCAAGTCAAGCGGCCTACCAAAACTTCATTTTTTTCGCTCAATTGGTAATATATGTTCAGTTCTACACTAGCCGTGTTGGTATTAAGGTCTAAGTTGTATTTGTACTTTACTCGATTTTTTTGTAGCTATTTTCCGTTTTTCACATTAACCACTTAATCATATATACCATACTCCTGGTAAGTACCATATATTTTTGTAAACAGACAAAAAAAGGGTATTTCACTGCTCTTTAAAGCTTCCAAGCCGCTTTCTGGAATCGAGGTTGCGATTGCATAATGGTATACCATCGTATTAATAGCATATTGTGGGCATCCTCCAAATTTTGTCAGCGCTAACTGGTTTATTTAACAATTATTCCTCGAGCCCGAATGGGCTCTGTGTCAATAACCCATGAGGCCGAAGGCCAAAGGGGCTATTGACTCAGAGGCCATGAGGGCGAGAGGAATAATTGTTTTAGTGAAATCCAACTAGTTGGTCAGAAATATCGAGACAAAACAACTTTAGCTAGTTAAAGCTAGACTTTAAGCGTTTTTGCCCCCAAAAAGCCAGCGCTTTGCGCTACTTGTAGGCTATAACATATTATAGCCTAGAAATAGCTCAACCAACCAGAACGCAGCATTGATAATACAGCACTAGTTGGATTTTACTAAAAAGAAATAGCCGAGAGATTAACACGGAATCCATCAAAAGATTGAGTAATTTCAATTTTCAGTGCGATATTGTTTAAACTATTCTGGTACAAGGTTTTTGTCCACTGAAAATTAATATTACTCAATTTCCTGTTGGATTCTATCTTAAAGCCAATCAGGCTCGGTGAAATATTTTGAATCAATAAAAACAATAACGTAGGATAAAAAGTAAGGCAAGGCTAGATACCTCGTCCATTAAGGCAATCTGTGAATTATAATTGCAAGTTGGTGGGTTGAAAATTTAGTTTCATTGTAGAGTGATCGACAGGGAGTTCCTTACCACCCTCAGCGTCAAAAAGGAAACGGAGAAATAGAGATCCATTCCGGGATCCATTGAAGTCAAAGGTGAATTTGGACTGGCTCATGAAAAAACATCTTCAATGATGTAGAGATATCGCTTTTCGTATTTCGTATCCGTATTTCCAGACAACTTTTCAGTCCTTTACGGATCCTGAAAAGTACAAATAATACCCACCTCTTGCTTTATCTTTGATTTGACTCAGGAACGTCGTGTAGGAAAAAGAAGAACTAGGTACATAGAATCCACTGAATGGGAGAGTGATATTATTTCTTTGAAAGAGCTGTGTTAGGGAAATAGCCAGTGGTGACCATACATTATCCTCTGTGCCAATGATAGCAGCGCGCGTCCAGTTGTAGAAGTCCATTGTTTGATAGAGTATATCGGGTGTCTGATGACTGTAAGTTCGACTGAACGGTTGGGTCCTAGCAAACGTTGCATAGTAGAGCCGATCGCTTAACTCTATCGATGAACACGAGTAGGATATCATGGGTTTATTCCAATAGGACGTTAGTAATGCCGCTGGCAAGCAAGCGTCAGAGCAAGCAGGTCCGATAAACGCATCTACGTAGCTCAATTCATACGTTCGTCCAACCGCAGTTTTCTTGGAACATCCACCGTCCGTGATTGTGTACGTTATGTTCCAGTCTTGTGATACTATATTTTGTGTATAAACATCTTGAATAGCAGGCTCTATAGAGAGTTCTAAAGCTTTTCCGAGTCCTTGAAACTGGCCTGATAATGAAAACGGCAACAGGACGCCTATTTGAACTGTTTCCGAGGCGACTAAGTGAATAAACACAAATGCTAGGAATATCCGCGTGTATAGGAGGAGCATCCCTGATGTGATTGGGTCACCTGTGTGAGAAAAAAATTCAATTCTTTTAAAGGGTGCATTTCCACCGGATAAAAATTTCATCCATACGGATCCGTTCAATATTTTCACTCTGATCACACAGCAAAGACCAACCAGATTGGTTTTCAGCTTTTTTGGAGGTTTTACAATCTCTGCACAAGCATAGCGCTACTTTAGAAAATCCAAAATGGCGTCTCTTAGCTGAGTTACCACGCATTCATGCAACCAAGTCATGGTGTTCACACTACGGCGAGTCGCCGGTCAACTTTCCTACCGTACTGTATAAAACTGACTAGATCTCAATTCGGCGTTCAATTTGTGCTCGTTTAACGACGTTCTTTTTGAACGGAACAACTAAAGGCACTAACTTTCAACTTGCTGAAAATTGTCGTATGGTACCGTATGAACTTTTCAATGCACACAGTTAATTCGAGTGGGCTTGTCACAGGAAAGTGTAAAACTATAAAACTGTGTATGCGAAAATAACAAAAGGTAGTATGGGGTAGAAGTGTGGTTGATAATGATGGTTCACTGTTGGAATGACCTTTTCTGCGTTGAATAAATATATAGCAGAAACTAAGATAGAAGTTGGAAGGCCAACAATGTTCTTTTGAGATATCACAGGTGAAATATTTTTTTTCTGATCCACGAGAATGCTTGATCTTCGTATAATAACCTTTTCCCGCATTCATCGATGCGTTCGGGAAAAAGAAACCTTGAAATTTCCAGGAGGGTTTGTCATGGTTCCTGTAAAGGGAGATTAATTTCAATCTACTCAGTGATGTTTGTTTTCGATCGTAAGTAGAGGTATATGAGGGGTTCTACGCAGTGGTGGAGGTAGTGGAGTTGACATCAAAATAGCTCAGGGGATTAAAATGATGAGATCATCATATAAAAATAGAAAGGTATTCTGTATAACAATCTAGGGTGTTGACGTCATGAAAACGATGAAATCATCATCAAAAGTGGTCATTTAATGCAATTGGTGCGATGACATCATCAGCTAAAATTAGAAAGGGTTTTTTGACATGATCAGCTATTTTCTATAGTCTATGACATCATTATTTATTTTTATCTTTTTAAGACCATATAAATGGAGGTTATTATTATTAATTATAATTGCCATCTAAAACGAAAATGGGTATTATTGTTATAATAATAATTAATAATTTATGAACTTATTGTGCGCAGCTTAACATGAGAATGATCAGCTGCGCATTACAACTGCATTACTTTACAAGAAACAAATAAAAGATAATGTATTTAAAAATAAAAAAGAAAAAGAATATATATGCATGCAAGTAAGAGCTGAATATAACATTGCTCACCGATATAAAGTTGTAAACAGATAAGTCTTAATATGCGCCTTAAAAGTGTTCACATTAGTATTCGCACGAAGTTCCTTTGGAAGAGAGTTCCAGAGCGTTGGCGCTGCTAACATAAAAGCTCTATCACGTAACGTCTTCGATCGAACAGCTGGCATAGAAAGTAAAATACTACCTGAAGATCTAAGGTTATATAAGGACGATTTAAATGTAAGTAAATCGCATAAATATTTGAGAGCAAGGCCGTGAATTGCTTTGAACGTAATAAGGAGTATCTTAAATTGCATCCGGGCTTTAACAGGAAGCCAATGGAGACCACGAAGAAGGGTTGAGATGTGGCAAAACCTAGGGGCATTACAAACTAGCCTGGCTGAGGCATTCAAAACCCTCTGCAATTTGTTAAGCTGGTAGTTGGGCAGCCCATACAAAAGACTGTTACAATAATCAACACGAGATGTAATAAATGCATGGACAAGCATTTCCGTTGATTCTCGAGACAAATACTTGCGAATGCTTTGATATTACGCAAATGGTAAAAGGCAATACCACATAACTTACTAATATGAGTTGACGTACGTAGTGAGCTGCTCATCAAACCATGAGCGTAGGTTTCTAGCTACTGTTACAGGACAAACATCAGTCGACCCAACCTTAATGCAATTGATGTTATTCTTGGCCAGCTGCTGCCTAGTGCCTATAATTAAAAGTTCTGTTTTATCATCGTTTAACATAAGATTATCTGAAAAGATTATCCTAATGTCACTGATACAGTAGTCATGGACTTGATGGCAAAATCAGCATCCGCAGATCGATTGGGGCTGGATGATACATACAACTGTGTATCGTCCGCGTAGCAGTGAACTTGTGGGAGGTGGCGTTCAACGATCTGAAACAGTTTGCGCGTGTAAGGGGCCCAAACATGATCCTTGAGGAACACCTTGGTTTAAAGGAAACTGATCAGGGAGACTATCATTTACAGAGACACGCTGGAACCGGTCAGATAGATACGATTTAAACCAGGCAAGCGCATTGTCAGTTATTCCCAAATCACACTCAAGACGACCAATTAGCTTGTCATGATGTATCGTGTCAAAAGCTGCACTGAAATCTAATAATACCGGTAAGGTGACATGTTGCTCTCCATAGACATCAAAATATCCTTCTTAACTTTAAGTAAGGCTGTCTCCGTGCTGTGCTGCTGTTTATACGCCGATTGAAACTGAGGATATAAATTGTTGGCAGTCAGATGCTCCATAAACTGCTCAGCCCCAGCCCGCTCCGACAATTTAGAAATATAAGAGAGGTTACTGACTGGACGGAAATTTTTGAACGCAAAGTCCAAACCAGGCTTCTTGAGAGATGGTAACACAAGCGCCTCTTTCCAGGCCTCAGCGAATCGACCGGTGTCAAAAGAGAGGTTAATCAGCTTAGTCTTATTCAGTCTTATTAGTCTTATTAGTCTTATTCAGTCTTTCATAAGAATAAAGCTTATAATCACTATCGTATGATCGCAGCTACTACTCAAATGAAGTAACTGCATCTCGGATCAACAATTTCTAACCTGAAAAACTCAATTATGATCCTTTGACCGTGGAGAAATGGGAATGATCCTTTTTTTTTCTGATAATTATGCTGTCAAATGCGCGTGAATTTTTCAACCGAAAGACGATAAAAATGTGTGAAAAAGGTAGATTGCTTTATAAGCCACAGTCCGTAAGTTACCCATTTATCTCACAAGTACTCAAAGTAATTACAACAAATCCCAACATCAAAATATCAAAATGAAGGTCGCAGTGATTACTTAGTTGGCCACAATTTTCAGTCGCATTCCTTACAAAACAGATACAGCCGCTTTTATATCCTAATGACAGCGTCGAATTCGGAAAAACTCACCCCTTAGCTTTTGGCCACCTGATCGGTTTACAGTTCATTAAACACTATGGTTATGCGCAAATGCTTGCATGGCCACTGATCCTGATCTACATTTGCATATGAACTCTACATGTGGAGAAAGCTCATGGGACAACCAATATAACAATGGTTGGCTTACGTTCTAAGAAATGATCAATTTAATCACGCGACTTATGAATGCTTGCTAATAACCCTTTAGACACATTTCTTGAGAGATAAAAATTAAATGAACTTTATTGCCCTTGATGGTAAATCGAATACAGAAAGAGTAATATAAACAAATGTATTTCAAATGAAAAAAGCCGATCAGTCCTCATCTTGATACCTGGAATATTTTTGGTTCAGCTCTATATCTTTGACGTCGAGTTTGTTTTCTCTGTTTTTGAGAGACGTTATCATCTAAGTAATTGACAAAGCGAATGCAGCGCCTTTTTCGCTTGGGTCCTTGCGATGGAGTTTCTATTGTAGGAGGGGGAGTCAGGATGGAAGGATTTGATACCAATGGAGTGGAGCTTACTGTCGTGGGTTTTGGTAAGATGCTTGGTTTATTTAGCTTCGGAGTTGAAGGGGTTCAGAGCTACAGTGGACGCTTTTGATGTTGAAGAATCCTGTTTGCTTATTTGTTCCGGAAAGGTACTGTTTATTTCTTCACGTTCTATCGCATCTGGGCGTCAAACTGTTGGCGTATTCATCTGTTGTTTGAAACTCAGGTATCTGCCTTGCAACTGAAAGTACCGCTTTGCTTTTTCATCATTACTGAGATCAGTGCGAGAGAGAATATCATCCATACTTTCTTGTACTTCTTCCATTGCAGGAAGTAGCGGACCAGTCGATAGATTTTGCTGTTTCAGATACCTTAAGAGTTCTTTTGAAATATTGCCTTGCATTTCCGCTTAACTAAACCTTTCTTCACTGGATGGTAAATTTGTCCGCAGTCTACAGTAATCTGGTGTAGTTGTCTTCAAATCTACCAGAAGATAACCGAAGGGTCTTTTGACTGCTTCTTCGTACTGCTTTATTAGTCTGTCCGGGATACATTTGCTTGGGCAATGTCACAATTTGCAATTTATCTCTCGGGTTCTTAAAAAGTATTAAGTAATGGCTGTTTAAACTTATGCTTCGACTGTCCTTTTCTTGATAAAACAAATTTTGTACGATGTAAATTACACTCAAGTTGCGATGATGAGAACCCCTCGTAAAAAGGTTTTCAATGCGCTTGTCTTTGCTGGCATCAATCATTTGATCGTCAGGCACGATTAAGTTCCGCTTGCTCACATCGAAAAAAGGAGTCATCTTCCAAAGCTGGGGGAATGCCTTTGACAAATTTTATTTGAGGTATGGTGCTCAGAATTTCCAGATAAGCAGGCTGCCATTGTAAATAACACCAAACAATCCTCTCCGGTGGAAGTTGAATGGCTTGTGAAGATTGTTGTAATAGAGACTGAACCCAGAATGTCTTCCCTGATCCGGTCATCCCAGAGATGGCAGAGGTGAAAGGATGTTGAAATCGAAACTGCAGACATTTTTGTCGAAAAGTTGGCATTGTTTGAACTTGAGTTAAACTAACACTGCTGTGCTTAGAATTCATATGTCTCTGCATACTATCTTTCTTGCTAGGTTTTTTGGCATAGGGAACAGTTCCAACTCATATCGTCTACTTGAAAGCTGATTTCAAACTGAAAGAAAAATTTGAATGTCTCATATTTATAGACGCTTACATGACACCACCACCGCATATCTATTGTTTTACTGCCACGACCGCCGCCGCCACCACCACATTTTTATTGTTTCACTACCGTCGCGACCACCACAGTTCTGTTGTTTCCC